CGTGGATTCTGGGGAAAAGATGTTGTATTGTTGAGACCTTGGGTCGAGAGGCAGGGTAGCAGAGTGGAGTGGGCGAGGGTGGCGAGCACCGCAGCACCGCAGCACCATACATGTCGCTCGACCAACGCACAGAAGCAGAACACAATAATGGCGAGTTTCGGATGTACGTTTTGAAAAGTTCACTTTCACTTTTTTTTAGGGCAAAGAGCAGGTTTCTGGCCGCCATAAAAATGAACTTTCGACCCTAGCAAGATTTTTTTAACACGAAGGGCAGCTGGCGTCTGTTAAAGCTGAACTTTTTCAAGTTTTTCATCTTTTAGCTTTTAGCTGCTTTGGTCAAAATCACGCCAGGATGGGTGCTGTGGCACACCTCACCCCACCAACTCAACGCATGCCAATGCATGTATGCATGCATGCATGCCCGCGGTCGGTCATAAAGCTTACTGCCAGCAGTGGGACTCCTGCTTCGGCGCTAACGAAGGTTTAGACTTGTCAAATTCATGTCGGGCCACAGCTCGCTCATATTTTTTTCGAACACACATACATGCACCCGCCCACAGCAGCAGCAGCAGCCGGGCACCTATACTACACTCACTCGCATCGATCGCCCAACACGATGTAGTGCAGCATGATCCACAAGAAATCCTAGGGCATCTTGCTGCCTTGTGCGTTGTTGGCTCTGGCTTGAAGATTGATTGGCGGGATGCGTTGCGAGAGAGCGACGAGCGCTTGGGCGTGCTGCGTGCGTTTGTTGCTGCGTGCGCACACCCTGTCTGGGTGCGTGCATATGCATTCCAGCTCAAAAACGTCGCGTCCTCTCTCACAAGACGCTCACAACGCTCCACTCCAGACCCATCTCGGTTGGTGGCAAGGTACCTCAGAGCTGTGGAGCACACAGCGTCGAAGGTTTCACCCGAATGCAAGCATCTGTTAGGGAGATATGGTGACTTGGTCGCGGGCCGTGCTGATGAGATTCCCTCCTGGTGACATCGTGACATCACATCGATCGTTAAAAGTAAAACCTCCGGAAAAAACAGGACTGGTCCCAGGAACGGTGCTGTTAAGTGAAAAGTGAACTTTTGCCAAGAATATTTCCGAAACCGTCTAATACCGGAACACAATAATATCGGAACACAAGAGACTCAACAGGGGCTAACGTACTTCACAAGGTACCATGAATCAGTGTTGGATATTGGGTATCGAATATCGATACAAAACTGATACAATTGTATAATATATTGACGATACTCAGTATCGGTATTACCGGTTTCCACGCCGATATTATTTGTCGATACGAATCGGTATCGGTATCGATATCGGTATTCGATATTCGATATTTTGGCCCCCTTTTTACAGGGGGGGGTCAGTTTCCCAGCTGTCTACCCCCTTTTTTCGCTCCGGCGCCTACGCGCCTACTCCTGTCGCCCCCCACTGCCATCACAACCACACACCACACACACACCAGCCCCTGCCAGCCACACACCACACCAACAGCGCCTGTGTCTAAGCTCCTGAGAACCACATCGATCGGTGTGCAACATGAGCCTTCAAGAATTCGGCTTTGTCGCCGTCGATAGCGCTGCCTCTGCCGAATGAGTAGCAGTCATCCCCGTTAGAGTCAGCTTGCTTCCTTACTACGTAGGTTTGGCGTTTCCCGCAGTTTCAGCAGTAGAGCTACTACATTAGTGCGAACAGAGGCCGTACCTCCTGCGGACAATTTATGCTGTGTGAACTTGGTTTTGGGACTTGTAATACGTACTGGCAAGGTGTGCTTGATTTCATGTCCGAGCACGTGGTTGGGTGTGTGATGAATAGAGGAGGTGATGTCGTGTTCAAGTTTGTTTGGCAAGCGTTTGGTTTTCGCACATAATGTTTTCGCCATGTTTTTTCTTTTGTTTCCTTTTGGCTATTGGGTGTCTAGAGTTGATACTCGCTCGAGGTGCATTGCTGATTGTTGGGCACCCACAACTGGTGGGTGGAATTTTGCATGCATAACTTTGAAGGTAGCAAGATAATTAAAAACCAAGAAGAAAGTAAGTGTGTTCGAGTCTTTTCCGCGTTTTTTTGTCATGAAATCCTGCTCGCAGCCGAGCTTGCACTGATTCGATCGCAACCGTACGGCGGTGTTATAGTGTGTACGTGTATACACACATGCACACTGACTGTAAAATGTAAAATATATCTGGTGGACATAGCTACACAAACAACTTTTTGCCTCTTGCACGATGCAGTTTTGTATGCGCAACATCACATCACAACGTGTGCCCGCTGTTGTTGTTGTGCTCGTGATGTTCAACTGCACACACACACCTGGCACCTGGCAAACACCACTACTTCCATGCCGCCGGACCATGCGCGCACGCCTTGCGCACTGCTGTATACTTCAGATAAGGGTTTGGGTGTGCCAGGGTACGTGTAGTTGCGTAACGCTCGCTCTTCTTGTAACCTGAGGCCTTCAAAACAGCCGTATCGATATCGAGTATCGATACTCGATACGTATCGAGCCATTTTCGGGATATCGAACAAAATATCGGTATTTGTGTTTTTTTCTCGATACGATGGGCGTATTGTATCGAACTCTTCTGCCCGACCAATATCCAACACTGCGTGAGAGTCAACGACCGTGCCTTCGCTACGAGTTGTGATTTACAAGGCACCCCCGGTCTGTCTCCGTGGCGGCCGCGCGCGTCATTGGCGACGACAGCAAATGCATCATACGGCGACAAACTGTCCTCCTTCTCCCCTCGCGTCTCCGCCGCTGCACGTATGGATAGTATTTTGGCCAGGACAGATGAGGAATGCGGGCGCGTCCAGGAGCACCTTAGACCCGTGATCACTTGGTCGAGGCTAATCTGGTACAAGATGAGGATTGGTATCGTTCACGCAATGTGGAACGGGGACTTACTGATAAAGCACGCTCGTTCGAATATAGTTTCGGTGTCAGAGCGACATGAGTGGGTAAGATGAATTGCAAGTGGCGGAGAGCTCTCCCACTCTGTTTGTGGCTATATGCGTTGTTGCGCCAAAAGTTTCGGCGTTGGTATGTAAGCAATGATTTGGCCGTCAGGAAGTAGCCCAGCCGATATTTGATGTACCACAGCTGGCAGAAATGAATTTCCTTTCAAAGAAATTGGCCAATCAGAAAACTGCGGGCACCTTTTCTCTCTCTCTCCGATATTTGATGTACCACACACAGCTAGCAGAAATGAATTTCCTTTCAAAGAAATCGGCCGATCAGAAAACTGCGGGCATCTTTCCTCTCTCTCTCAATCAGAGAGCAGCAGTGTGGAGTCTGAGGAGCACCTTAGACCCGTGACCACTTGGTCGAGGCTAATCTGGTACAAGATGAGGATTGGTATCATTCACGCAATAGCAATGTGGAACGGGGACTTACCAATAAAGCACGCTCGTTCGAATATAGTTTTCGGTGTCAGAGCGACATGATGAGTGGGTAAGATGAATTGCAAGTGGTGGAGAGCTCTCCCACTCTGTTTGTGGCTGTATGTGTTGTTGCGCCAAAAGTTTCGGCGGTGGTATGTACGCAATGATTTGGCCGCCAGGCAGTAGCCCAGCCGATATATTTGATGTACCACAGCTGGCAGAAATTAATTTCCTTTCAAAGAAATTGGCCAATCAGAAAACTGCGGGCACCTTTTCTCTCTCTCTCTCCTGCTGATGGGTTATGGTTCTCGTTTGCCTCCTTTCGTCTTGGTCTTGACGAACTCGATGCGTGGCTCCGTATTGTAGCAACCCATTGACCGAAATGTAGTGAGGGGTGTGCAAGGCGCAGGCTTTGTAGCGCACGATGCGTGGCAAGCCTGGTTCACGACAACAGGGAATTAGACCGCTTGTTGACCCATGGTTACGAAGGGCTACTGTGGGCCGGAAAATACGGTCCAGACAGTATGGCACGAAACGTTGTGAAGTTTGGACTGCCACCCGCTCAATTGCCATCCCAATCTCTCTCTGGATACTTAGTCCTCCCCACCTCTCACGGATTTGTGGTTCTGACTGCAAATTACGATCATCATGCCTGCCAAGACGTGGGAAAGGAAATCCATGTTTAGCTTATCGTACAAGCCCGGTCGCCCCGGTGGTCAAAACCAGGGATAGTTTACCGCCTTGTTCATCTACTAGTCGCAGGTTGGAGTTCGATTCTCTCGCTGGAGTGAAATAAAGTTTGCAATTTGTCGTGAAAAACGAGTAATTTGTGAGCCAGACGAAGATCGCATGTCCTCCGATAGAAATTTCCTCAACTGCAAATCGAGATTTCTGTCGTGACTAGAGCAATGTGTGCTCAGAATGTTGCCTCCTGGGGTTCCGTTGCGTCCTGTTCGACGAGCTTCCACGACCTTGGATGGAACGGCAAAAGCAAAACCAGCCCATCATTCCCCTTTTTGGCGGCCGGCAGACAGCAGCGCGCAACCGCTCGAGCACTTCAGACATCTCGAGAAGAAGCCACGTTTATTTGCGCTGTCCTCTTTTGTACTTTGCTCTCTATAGCCACTTCCCATCCCCACCTGTACACGCATGGAACCCTCGCGCGAAGCTCAGTATGGCAACACTGCGGGGGCTGCCAGTCGTGACACGACTCAAAAACGATCAGATGGCCATCATCCAATGAAAATACTGCAGCAGGGTATAACCGTATCCCCGAGGTCACCGTCGCCAAAACGCCCAACACCAACGACATGTCTGAACTAACCTTACTTCATGGTCAAGAGACGAATTTCAGCGGGGGTGCTGTGTACTTGCGCTAACAACCGGGCGTTTTTGAACGAAAGCCCTCAGCGATCTCTGCACCTCTCCCACGATCCGCCGTAAGCCAAAGACGACACAAATGGAAGACTTCCCCGCCTTTGTCAAAGAGCACATCAACCTCGTGACCAACCCTTACTCTGACGCCGCAACTCTGCCAGCGACATGAACGCACACCCTTGGATACCAAGAAGTATACTTTTAGCAGCACGGGCCCGTCCCTCATGTCAGGACCCGGGCCTTCACCCGTACCGCCCGCCGCTGCTGCCGACCGTGCGCCAACGCCTCCCTCTCCCCACATGGAACTCCTCCTCGTCTTCGTCTTCGCTCTCTCCTACTCCCAGCCCCGCCCGCTGTCCCTCCAAATCACCAAGGTCGAGATCGCCGTACTGCCCCTGCTGCGCCTCGCCCGACAGCCAGTCCAGAATAGAGGAGGCCGCCCCCATCTCGAGGAAGGTCTTGCCGTGTCCACCGCGCACTCCCGCGCGGCCGCCCCACTTGACCCCGTTCAGGTCGTCCGCCTTGCGCAGGAGCGCTGAGAGCGACTGTTTTGGGGGGGGAGCGGCACAGGAATTCTCATGGGTGGTTGTCACGACGGTCATCTCGGTTATGCGTAAGAAAATTAACCGTTGCCACGCAACAGGAAAATATTAACACAAGACGTCGGCTTCAGAGGGTGCAGAACGGGAGGAAGGTGCATCAAAAAGAGGGGGGGGTGGAAAGAGACGGTGCAGCGAGAAATTCGAAAGCAAAAGCAGTTGAAATCGAATCAACGATACCTTTCGAAGGGGCGGAATTGGCGGCAGGCCCGAACGGCCCGAAGACACTCGGCTCCTGTTCTGGGGATTCGCTCGTCACCAACGCAAACCTCGTTCTCCGAGAAAGTTGGACAGCGCTCCTGCTATTTACTGCTTACGCCGACCACCGACCAAAGTCCCCTGCCTCCACATGTCGCGAAAGAAGCGCGCGGTCCACGTGAGTAGTCCCGACGTTGTCGCCGTCACAACTGGAGGAGAGGCGAGTATCACAAGCTTTAGTCCAACTGCAATACCACGCTACTCTCTCCTTTTAAGCACACCTCGAACTCGTTCTCGGAGAAGTTGAGGCAGCGCTTCTTCTTCTTCTTGCTCGTGTGCGGGCCCCCCTCCCCGCGGAAGTTCTCCGGCTCCAGCCCACTGTCGCCTCTGATCTTTGCCGACACCTTGCTCACCAGGTACAGCTTGTAGTGCGTCAAGCTGCAACGAAAAACGAGAGAAAAGGAGCAAACAGAAAACCGCATGCTTACGCGTGGCATCACAAGCAGCCGACAGGGACAGGAGGAACACAGGAGGCTGCGAGGTAACGTGATTCACAACAGTCAAGACAGCGACTACGCCACAAACACACCGAAAAGGGGAGGAGGAAATGCAACGTTTAGGTTGCTCTTCCCCGAGAAGCACATGGGCCGGGCTTGGGGACAGCTGAGCACAAAGGCAGTGATGAAGAAAAACGGCTATTGCACCGAAGTTTAAATGTCCTACATGTTAGATTGCGGAAAAGCGCCGCACCAGCGTTGCACATAAGACAAAGTTCTTCGCGAACTTGTTCACGGGAGAGTGAACGCGGGGATGGGGCATCAAAGGTGGGGAGTGATTGCAAGCGTCCAAGGTGCACTTCCAGGGTGCGAAGAACAGTGGTGAAGAAATAAAATCGAATCGGGTGGGTCAAACTCCGACAAAGTGCACGGCGATGAAGGCTGGTACTCTAAACGAAACGAGGACAATGCCAAGAATGGCGCTATTCAGGCGAAGCGGATCCATTCTGGAGAAGGGTTGCAACGTGCGGCTGCGACGCTGTCTGTCCGAATTTCGACGCACCTGTGGAACAAGTGAGACTTGTGCTTGCACGTGTCTCCTAGGTAGTGCGTTGCCTTGGCCTCCTGTTTGTGCCGCCGGTCGACAAAATTAGAGAAAGAACGGAAGACACATGGACCAACAAGAGAGAGAGCAAGCAAGAAAACACTGCAAGTGAGGGAGGGCGGCAGAGGCGCGCACGCGGGGTCAAGGGGTCAACAACGAGCTGACTACATTATTTTCTCCCACAGAAGTGTCGAGACCATCCCACAAATTCTTAGTCGCGTCGCAAACTATGTTGACACGGATAGAAGCGCTACGCCTCAAAATAATTGCCTGGTCGGACTTCCGGAACGGACAAGAAACTACCGCAACGTCACACCTAAGCCCAAACATAGATTTCCTTGGCCAGATTGCCCTGAATGAGCGCTGACCGCAACGTACGTTCACCAATGAAAACTCTCGCATGTATGCATACCTGTTTCGCAACGGCCGCGGCGTCCGGGTCATCCCAGTGCTCCGGCAGGTGTTTGTCCCATCGAAGCCCGTCCCACACCTTCCGAAACGGCAGAAGCGGGCATGTCAAACGCGAACAACACAAGCAAACGCTACGGATAAGGCACGCTCGCTCCAGCTTCTGGACAAGCCCGGTCAACACATAATTCAGGATGCACCGAGCAGCGGGCATATTGAAACACGCAGGGTGGAGATACCCACGCAGAAGAAACATTCGACTTAAGTGCCTAGACCCACCGATTGCCCCGGTGGTCTAGTTGGTATCCGCGAAAAATTCTAGAGGTCAGGTCAGGGGTTCGAATCCCGGCGTAAGCGAGCTTTTCTTGCAAAGTGAGTTTTTCTCTCGCTTCCGCTCCTGGCCTAGTGGATAGCGCTAGTTCGTGTGTACACAGAGGGAAGAGAGTGCTGAACTCTTCTCGCATACAAAACCGAAGGCAAAGTACCGCAGGAGGGGAGGGTAGAGAGGGGCTCTTCTGTGTGACCACGGGTTGGAGTAAACGGCACTAGTGCTGTGAGCGCTGATTAGAAGTGAAGACAAAAAAAAAAAAAAGGTCATGTACGAGAACAAGCCCAAGCTGGAAGATGCTTGCAACGACGAAGCACGACAAAAAAGGCACTATTGTCTGAGGCACCTCACCCTGTTCGGGTCATACTCTGAGCCAGAGAGGAAGGCAATAACGCTAGTCCGGTTGGAGCGGTTACACGCGCTGCAGCGATCGGTCAGTCTGCACAAGTCGCCGTCGACGTGGTGGTAGCCGTAGTGGGGGTACCGCATGATGGTGTCCCTGCGTTTTTGGTGTCGATGATAGTTGGGGAGAGAGTAAGAGGTACACGGATGGAACGGATGGCGTACGTGAACGCGGTCGGTGGAACATGTAGGGATGACCACGAGCAGGGAGAACGACTGACAATGACGGCCGAAAGAAAAAAAAACAAGAAGAAAATGAGCAGCACACTAACGGCAGCAGCAGCGGTGGCAACAACAACAACAACAACAGAGAAATGATTTCTGAAGGAGCCCTTTCACTCCTCACGTCTTGGGTGTTCACCCGGGGTGTGGTCGGAAGAGGCGTTCTCGTGCTGACATTCTGCTGTAATTGGCCTTGGAGACGTAAGTCAAGCTCAACGACACAGTTGCAGAGTGAAAACGACCAAAGTTCACAGGGAAAAATAAAATGCAGCTCCAAATGGAAGTCAACCAAGGACCACACCATGATGGACGACGCCAGTGGCACGAATCGCGGATACGGCATCCTGACCAAACCATCGATTGGGAGGACATGTGCAACTGCACCGACACGGGCTCGCTCTGAGCGATGAACGAAGAACAACTGGAATCCCCAATGCCACCAAGAAGCCTCACAGAGTCTGACACAACTGCAGCGACGACCCGCGTAAGCATAGAACCGATACATATGAAGCGTGGTCGACGGAAACTCGCGGATTTATTTCCTCGATGACAATGCTGTCAGACAGAAAACACGATTGGCCCACTTGCAAAGCTGGAAACCCAACATGGCGTTTTCAACGCAAAAGGTTCTGCTTTCACCATCCCCAATCGCCTGAGATCATGGATCGGGCTTGTTTGGAAACAAAAAAACAACTTACATTCAACCAAAGAACAAACGCACGACAAGGTAACTCACCGGAAGTCTTGCCGCCAAGAACCGCAGAGGCTCTCGCCGCTGATGCGCAGCTGCGTCGAACACCCGCACAGAAACGAACAGACAAGAGTGAATGGCAAAAAAAACGACAAACAGTGGTGACGGGACCTGCCTTTCTCTCCGCGAGCACTTTGTTCGCCACACTCCGCCCTCCCCCTCTCCAAAGGCTGCCCCCACATCGGGGGGCAACTCCACCCCTAATCCGCTCATTCGGAAATCTGCTTTCGAGACAAATTCCTCAAGTACAACAAGCAAAACGAAACGCATTATACTCCTCAACCCTTGGGCCATACGTACGCAACAATTTGTTTCCGCGCCCCCCACTTCTCCGCCTCACGTGAAAGGCTAACCCCCGACTCCCCTCGGATACCTTTTTCTCGACCATCTCCTTCGCCTTCCCGTAGCGGGCGTGCTCGGGAATCCGGGGCTGCGCGACGTACTTTTTCATGAATGCTTCGCCGGCCCCGTCTCCTGGGAAGAAAAACAAAAACGCAAGGCAGAAGCACCAACGCTTTGGGTCATTGCAGGTTCAGTCTCCGGCGTACAAAGTATTGCATGTCGTCGGTAGGCAGTGCTAGTCGCGGGAGCGCATACCGAAATTTGTTCCAAGCTTCAGTAGGAAGTGCATTCGAATACGTGAAAAAGTCAGGTGGGCGTGTTCGTTGCCAGTAAACTGCCGTGGAGGTAGCCCGGGGTGTGAGACGCAAGCTGCAAGCCAACTACGAACGAGAACAAGGTATCATTGCTGTGTTTGTTCCTACAAGAGCGTCAAAACTTCCGCCCTTCGAGAATATCTCCGATTTGGATTTAACACGAACCTTGGTCATGATCATGTGTCACAACTTCCTCTAACGACGTACTTGTCACTCCAAGACAGCGAGCGAGACACATCGGCGGCGGCAAAGAGAAGACAAAAGAAAAGCAACAACACAAAGGCCGAAGCGTCCTTGTTTCCAGGCGAAAAACAGGCCCCACAACGTAGTCTACGTCACCTTGAGTAGCCTTGGCGATGTATTCCACGTAGAACAAGAAGGCCTCCTTGAACGTCATCGTCCCCACCCTGAATCAAACCACGCGGGGGGGGCACGACGGGCACGGAGATCATGATGAACGCGACGGACACCGCGCCGCGTAGACGAATCACCCACACCACATCAACGACCGAAACCCGCCAACGTGGAACAACACAGCCTCCCATTAGAGGGGAATAAACGGCAACAACGCCCAAGTACGAAAATCGACAAAACCCGAGTCGAGGGAGCGAACGATGAAACACGAGACTGTGATTTGCCAGGGAACGGCGGCGGGAGAATGGCATAGTTCGGGAGTCGGAAGCAGGCAGATCACCGCCATCTATTGTATTCTTAGCTAGAATCGACTGTAGATGGGGCGAAAACCGAGATTGCGAACCTGAGGGAACCCACATCCTGTTTCGAGAGGACTACGTTTTTCGAGGCATAGCGCCGTTAACGGCAACGTGGGGAAACGAATATATTGGTGAAAATGAAAAACACACACAACCTTTTGGCGGCTACTCCGAAAACAATTGTAGCAGAGACAAACACAAGCCCACGATATAGAGACCGCACACTGTTGAAAAGAAGGGCAGCCTCAGAAGTCTTGGCCTGACGAGAGCACGGAGTTGGTACACAAAAATTCGCAGAGAGGAACGACAACGGCGTGTGCCGTGAAAGCGTCAACAATGAACTTCGTTTCGAGCGGAAAAAAAAAAAAAAACGCGGGTGCTTACGAGAGCGAAGAAATGCCTCCATCCTCCGACTGCTCCATCTCGTTGAAAAAGGCCGCGTGCGAGAAAAAGGCGTCGCCCCCGTCTTCCTCATCGTCATCGTCGTCGTCGTCATCGTCGATGAAATTGTCTTCATCGCCATCGTCAGGCTCCTGGAAGACGGTAACCAGTGTTGTTTTGGCCTCGGAAGCAACTTGTGACTGGACTGACGGTACGGTCATCTTTGACTGGCGGTACGGTAATCTGTGAGAAAACGGTAGTCTTTGCCCGCTTGGAGAGTGCCGGCGTACAGGCTGCTGGGTTTCAAGCTTGTGTCCATGCCAGCATGGAAGCCTTGTTGACTGTCATCCACAGTTCGGGACTTTGCAAGTCGCGAGAGTTGTTGCCATGTACAGCCCTTCGCTGCAACTGCTGCGTGGACGCATTTGCTAGCGCACGCGCAGGCAGAACTTGACCGCACTGCCATTCGAACGTGAGACCTCGCCGGCATCCAAACTGGTGGGGGATTCCGCATCAGCTGCTCGAGCAGGGCCCAACCAGCGCGGAAGCGGTATCATAGAAAGCGGACATCGAAAACATCGTGTCCCGAAAACACTACACGTGCTCACAGGCCTGATGAGCGAAACATGCGCGGCGTATTTGGTGAGCTGCCTTGGGCGACCAGCAATGTGTACCGAGGCTGCCGACGAAACCAATTCTGCTGTATGTGCTCTTCAACTTCCAGTGTTGTTGAAAAAACACGTGGGCAAACATCTTGCTACGAGTTGCCAGGGCACTCGATACCAATTCGATAAAAAGGCAAACTCACGTTGTATCGGTGGTTCCTCTTGCGTCCCTTGCGCTTGCTCCCGCTCCCGCCCTCGTTCTTCTCCGACCTGGACCGCTTGGCACATCCTGCCGATCCCTTCGAACCAACCGTTTCGATCTCCTCCTCCTCTTCCTCCTCCTCTTCCTCGTCGTCTTTTAACGTTACGGCGAAGCTGTCGTCCTCGTCAATGTCTTCATCCCTCGCGCATTTATCCCCGGACTTCTTGCCGTCCAACTCTCCGTCGCTCTCATCTTCGTCGTCGTTGTCCCACCCGCTATCGTCCTCTCCGCCGCCACCGCCGCCGTTGCCGTCTTCTTCTTCCGAGGAGCTGGTCCCCTTGCCATGCAGCATCTCGCGGTAGTTGACCATGGAGCTCCGCCTCCTGGTTCGTGTGGCTCTTCCGGTCGCGGCCGCCGGCGCTTCTTCCTTGATGCCCTTGCCGCCGCTCTTGCCCCCGACCTTCTTGTCTTTCCCTCGCCCGACTTTCTCTTTGGCCTTCTTCTTACCCTTGCCGACCGCTTTTACCGGCACCTCCTCTTCCTCCTGCGAGGAAAGGACGATCGGGCTGCCACCGCCACCGCTCTTCCCCTTGCCCTTCCCCTTGCCCTTGCCCTTGCCCTTGCTCTTGGTTTTCGAGCCGGCGCCTCGTGTACCCACCCGGGCAGGACTCGCTTCTTCGACGTCGACGACCTCCTCACCGCTCCTGCCCCTCGTCCCCCCGTCTTTTCTTGTACCCTTGCCCCTCTTCTTGGACCCAGCGGGCTGCATGCTGAACTCCTCGTCACTGTCGTCATCATCATCATTATCGTCCGAGGAAGAAGGGCCGGCCGATTCCGGTTCCGACCCGACTGCCGACGTTTTTCTACGCTTGCCGCTGCCCGGGTCCTTGTCGGCAACCCCCTTGCCCTTCTGCAACCTTGAAGACCGCCGGACGGGCTTGTCACTCTCCTCTTCCTCGCCATCTCCATCTGCCGCCGCTGCAGCCTCTGCTCTCGCAGAAGCTTTGCTTCGTCTCGCCCTCTTGCGTCCGGCGGGCCTCCCATCGCCCTCCTCGTCTTCCTCCGGCTGAGACTTGCCCCTGTTTCGTCTCTTCTTGCTCGCAGAAGCCGCTGCGTGGCCATCAGCACGCGAAGCAGCTTCGGCATCGTCTTCGTCGTCGTCGATTTCGGAGGCGTTTGCCCCCGACTTTCGTCTCCCCGACTTCCGGGTGTTGCGGCTGCTGCCGCCGCCATTGGCAGACGTCGCCGCCACCACCAGCGCTGCAGCGCTTTTCTGTTTCCCCTTTATTTTCTTCGTTGAGCCGCTGCCGCCGCCGCCGCCGCCGCCGCCGCCGCCGCCGCCGCCGCCGCCAACGTCTTGTTCGTCCTCGGAGTCGACGATAAAACCACCCAGGCCGTCGTCTGAGTCCGAAGAGTCTCCGACCTCGTCTCCTGACGGCGGGGGCTCCTTGACCAATCGCCTGCTCTCTCGAGAGCGGCCAGTCGGACAGAATAGGACGGGGAACCCAAAGGTTAAAGTTTTATCAATTTTCCCTCAGCGTCTAAACCCGCAGTAGCAACCTCCAGATGTAAAAATCAAACGGTTTTCCGTTGCACGGAAGAGCTGCACAACTATGAAGATGTTGTAGTAGCGTGGTGTTTCTTTTCGAACAGCTGCCGTCTGTCTAGTGCTCTTTTTATCACGCGCCCGGCCGCACCCCTCGCTAGAAGGAGGTGCCGAATGTCACTCGTGTTGCATTGTTTGTTCGCTTAGGGCGGGGATGGCGAATTCGCCCCCGTGTGCATCAAACCATTGAATGACTCAAAAGAACGCTGTGCGATGGTGCCAATTCGGCGGGCATTGCGAAATGTGACTTGCCGCGGACGCAACACGCCTGCCTGCTAATCCTCACCGGACAAACCGACTTGAGTGTGTCGCTGCCCCCGGAGCGACGCACAGGGGTTTTACCGAAACTGTTGCCGCTCTTTTACATCTTGTACTTGCCTGCTTGCGGTCCTCGAACGAGAGCCTCGACCCCAGGTTTCGTGGAACTGCAGCTGCACCAGCGAGGAGCGTTTAGCACCGCTCGCGTCATCACCGTCACCGTCGCTCAAGTCGTGGTCCTAGAGCAGCAGTAGCAGCAATTGGTAATCCAGAAAGAGGCGTGGGGCGTTTCAACGTCATTTGGACGGGTGTGAGCTTCGCCGGTGCGTGTTGGACGTGAGTCGTTGCGGCCGTACCGCTTCCAAGACCACGGCACTGCTGTTGGAATTTGAGGATAGAATGTCGGCAAAATCACGCGCGTAGCGTACTTGCTAGTCCAACAGACCGTACAGCAGAACCACACAACGGTTGCATACGACGGAGAACTACACCGGTGTACACAAAAAAAGGTTCATGTTGTCACCAACCTGTCGGTACGTGACCCTCCAACCCCGCCGAAAGGTTTGATATGGTGGCCCTGCCCTCGCTCAGCGGCAACATTCCGGCGCTCGTTGAGAAGGCTACAACAACCAAACAAATTACCCCCCCTCACCGAATCTTCCTCGAGCTTGGACCATCTCTCCGCCAGCTGCCGGCGGCGCTTCCGCTCTGCCTCATCGTCCTCCTGCTCGTCGCCGCCTGCGTTACCCCGGTCGTTCACGTCACAGGTCATGTGGAGTTGGTCGTTGACGCAATACCCAGCCTACCATGTCTTCCACGCACACATGCACTCTAGAGATGACCTTCTTGAGAAGGGAATGAGCTACAATCCGCAGACATCTCAGTTTTCAGTCAATCCCCGTCTCACCCCCGGCGCTCTCCCCCCCTGCGTCTGATCCTCCAAACAACCCTCCACCGCCGCTGCCGTTGTCATCACCGTCTTCGTCGTCGTCCTCGTCTGCAGCTATGACCTTCATGCTGCGGCGGGACTTGCTGGGACGCGTCTGCTCGGCCGTCGGAGGCGTTACATGCGGCGTAACCGAAACCTCCCCCAACCCCTGCTCTCCGACCCCCGCCTGGTTTTTCCCGCGCGTACATACGACAGGCGAAACGACAGAGAACGAAAATGTTACTTGTTGCGACTAGACTATCAGATACGAAGTGGGAAAATTATTCGTTCACACCCGCAACATTAACAAGAATCGTCCGTCTGGTTCCCGCCCGTACCCGACAGACGAACACGGCAGAGGAACGAACGATAGTTTATTGCAACCAGGCTGTCCAATAAATGGACCGTGTCCGTTCGCGTCCGGAACTTGAAACAAGATAGACTTGTTTTGCATATTGTACATGTCTGGTGGAGTGGTCTCATTGTGGCCATGTGGGAGGGCTTCGATTTCAGCAGCGGGGTATACACTCTCCTCCCGTTCCGGACAGGCGGAGTCCATCGTTGTTGTCGGCGCCACACAGAGGCTCGCGCGTTTGCACTGCCGCTGTGGTTCGATTTGCGCACAGAGAGAGAGGCTGAGGGTGGCACCTTCCGAGAACGCTCCCCGATGAACAACAAAAGTACCCAAACAAGATCGTCACGAAACCTCATCAACCACGACAGGTGTAGTACTGGCACTTCTTTTCGAAGCCGTCCGGTTCCCAACAGGTACATATTGCAGATATTCCATCCGGCCTGCATCTGGAGGCGGTCTATCCATGTCCCCGACCTATCGGACATGCTGTGCCGATCCAACGTATTGTAGCACACCGGCATCATGCGCAGTATCCCAGGAGTGCCCACTCGGGTTGCTTCAACTACTACTGAATATCTTCCCCCCCGAACATATTGGCGCACGTGAACTAATGCCAGGAGATAGACTTACAGCATTCCAGTGGCTTTGGAACTACCGCGCCCCAATGGTGGAAAGGACGGTTTCGCTCGTTTGTGAGACAGGTCTAATAGGACGGGTGTTGCCGGACGTCGGATACTTACAGGAGGACCGTATGTGACACAAGATACCACACCCCCTGGACCAATCTTCCAAAGCTCGACTACTCCACAGCGGAAAGAGTAACGGCGCCGAAACTAGCGGCGTTGGAATGGTCTCGTCGGGATGTTTCCGTCACCATTTCATTGGATTTTGGGGTCCTCTTCGCCGAAGAGCAGCCGAGCTTTGAAAATCGGAACAGGGGGTGTGGTATCTTGTGTCACGTACACGGTAACGGCTGGCGGGAAGACCTTGTGTCATATTGCGGCCATGTTTTGAGCGACAAAGATGACCTCTTCTTGTACGCCGGCTCAACGGAATGGGCACCTTCCGCCCGTCTCGTGTTGCACGGCTCGAGTGATAGAAATGCCCAACGAAAAGGCAGGTCGTACTGCTGAAAAACGGTACAACAACACTGCTTCTGGCTTTGTAGAACTTGAACGAGGTGGCGGAGGAGAGCGATATCGACAAATTCGTACCAAAGCGGTAGTGGTCTACACTGCTGTGTGCCGAGGGGCTTCTGAAACATCGATGTACGGTCGAGCTGCATGAAATAATCCCTTGTAACACTGCACCATACCAACGACCACTGCCAGAGTGCAACCGATAATGTGGGGGAGCGTTCCAACGCAGGGCAAACATGCAAACGAGATGTCGAGCAGATGGAGCCACCAAAATTCAAATTTAGATGTTTGAAATAGTAAGCCGGTCGTTCACATGCACTCTTACATCGTCTTCGTCGTCAGATTCCAGCATCACGCGGCGGCGCCTTCCTGCCGACATAGCTGTTCCGCTTCTGCAGCGACAAATTATATGTCCCTGCCAACAGCAGTAGCACCACCCTCTCGCGAACGGTGCGGTAGGTCGGTCAATGTCGGCGATGACTTGCGATGAGGCATGGGGGGGGTACGCAGGAAGAATTTGCGGGATGAATAATACGTGACGTACGCACAAGAAACTACGTCTCCCCTCAGTTGCCGGCAGCAGCGCACAGCGCACAGACAGCTGTGCGTTCGTCGGAGCTGCACGAGCTCCCGTGTGGGATCATGGGTGCGGGCAACAACGCTGTGAGTGGGCTGCATGAAAGCGTAGCCGAATGAAATTGCCTTGACCCACGGCTGCCGTAATTGCGTGTATGGATCCGAATGAACTGACAGACGTTTTTCCCGGTACATACGCATGTGTTGCTCATGATCGACGACAGACTGCTGCTTCCCCACGATGATGTAACGCTTCCGGGTACCGAACCAGACTGGGAAACAGGGAAGTACGTCAAGAAGCATGCGTTGAGCCCACTTGTTTTTGGGCACAGCCTAGCCAGAATGCAGTGCCAAGCTGTGTCGCGCTCAAGCCCCCTAGTCTATGTGTGGCACACAACAAGTACGTTGGTTGCGGGGTGATCACGTGACCACCACAGCAGTACTGCTGTGCTGCTGTAAGGTGCGGGTTTTCCAGGAAAGTCAAGATGAACAGCTGTGTTGCTGTGTTGCCGTGGCCAGACACAACATGTCACTTGAATACCATTAGTTAAGGACTTCTATGTTACGGCTAAAAGCCCCAGTTTCAAGAAATCGGAGCCCTTGGGATATTTGGTTCCAAGAAACACGCGCTGCCCGATGCTACAGAGGTTCGTTGAGGTTACGTTGAGTACATACAATGCGTCCGTGCTACCGATTACGTCGCAATCTTGTATCCTGTTATTACATAGAGAATAAGTATCCTTCGCTCCACGGCGGTGACGACGACGTAGCAGGCCGACCTTCGACCTTCGGCCCACATTGTTTCGTGGCGGGCCCAACTACACGCGCTACGTATACCCACCCGGGACTCGCCCGAGACTCCGCATTTTGTGAGGTCGAAACATAAGGAGTACCACCTGTGTGCCGCCCAGCTCTGAACCGACACACGATTCGCCGCGGGCGGGGGGCACGTGCACGTACAACCTCGACTGTGCCACTTTTTGCTGCCGATCTGCCGATGGTCCAACAAGAAAGAGGCATGCATGGCGACAAGCGCACTCAAGTTTTTGCACAAAGTTTTGGCGACGCCAGCCGGAATCTGCAGTATGTAGCAATAATACATACATGTAGTATGCATATTCGGGACGATCTTTTTAAAGCTTGATTCTAGTGGAGGTTATGGGTGTGGGTTAGGACAATAATAGGGTAACGAAACCTCCCTCTCGTACTTCAACTAATAACGAAATCCTTGTGGGAGCCGGAATCACAATGCCTCAACACCTGCAGAGAGCGTTTAGACCTATTGTACAATCTCGCCTCCTCGCTGATCTGTGGGGTCAGGGCGAAGGTGGATCAACGATGTTAGATTCGCGTGGAATCTGCTCGTCGTGTCGTGTACTCGCAGACCTCTTCGTCCACAGAAGCACGCCGCTCTATGGCTGAATACCGTAGTCTGCTTGAGAGTGGGGGGCGGGGGCGTACTCTTATGTTTGGCATGCCTTTAGACCGTTGACCAAGCGTCCTCAAGAGGATGGAGTATTGTTCCCACAGGACCGACCGATCACCGATGGCCAATCGTTCCTACCTGTGAGAGTGGGGGGGGGCGATGTATAGCCACGCCACGGTGGAATCTCAAGCAAGAAGTTATTTTCGAAAGACACGTACCCCTGGGACCTCCTTCTTTCTCCACGCCCCTTCCCGCCCCAGTTTCTCTAAAACTCGCAATGCCTGTCCGAGTCGAACTCGTGCAAATCTTCTATTAGCATTAGTTCACGAAGCAAGGGCTAAAGCCATAGCTATTCACATAGCTTCAACTATGTCGAGACTTGTTGGTTGAAGGCAGCGCAGAGAAGAACATATCCACCAACAACGTCCTGTTCACTTTCAGAACTCGGAGTGTTCCGCGGTGGTGTCCTGTTGTCTTGACGACACCATGCATTCGCAAAAAGCATAAACGCAGGTCCTCTCAGACCTAAACCTATAGCAGAGAAATTCGAACGACGTCTCTTGTTTTCTGACCGTTTCAATCCCGGAGTGAGCTCAAAGTTACTTTTTTGTTTCAACACCGTGGAGCGTGCTTTGGGGAGGGGGAGGGAGGGAGCGGGGATCGTCCCCCCATCCCTCCTTCACCTCAAGGCAAGTCACTACGATATGCCGATCGATGGAATTGCACCGCAGTAGAAATCCGTTTTTTCCTTTACGCAACACACTCACACGAGCTGTGTTCCCCGTTCCTGCGCGCGCCCTTCCCCAAACGGCGCAGATGGTAACCGCCGAGCGAGGCACACCGCAGCAGGTAGCACGAACGCGAAGAAGATGCAAACCTTTGGCTACCGCTGCTGACGGGGTCGGCTTAGGCGCGAACGGCCGCCGCCGTAGCACAAGCACGCTAGCCACGGTGTTCGTGCTGCTGGTGGCCTCACTGCGGGCCCCGACGTGCCAGGGATTCGTGGCCCCGCTTGCCACGCGAACGGCCATCAGAGGAGGGACGGCCATCAGAGGAGGAACTTCTCTTGCGAGGGTGGTGGCTGACAAGGAGGTGCGAAGAATGGTGTCGCGTGTCTTTTGCGGGCACATACATGTGGTTCGCGTGTCCTATTTTTTTTTTTATGTTTTTTCGGGCTGTACCGGTGCGTGTACCACATAAATGTGCCGGTAGACGCACATTGTAGTTTTTTATTGCATTGGCGAGGTCTTTCATTCTAATTATTTTTCTTTTGGATCCCACACAACGCTACTGTCGTTGCTGTGGTGGTAATCATTATACGTGCCTTGCTTCACCAGAGACTTTCGCGGTATATTCGGTGACTGCAAGTCATTTTTCATGTGGAGGTCTCTGTTTCCGCGGTACAGAAAGAGCTGCATCAGACTAGAGGGCAGGCGGCGCGAGGGTTGTTGTTTGTTTGGCAGGCGGCGCGAGGGTTGTTGGTTGTTTCGAAGGCGGCGCGAGGGTTGTTTGTTTAGCTTGGAGCAGACGGTGCATACTACAACGATGACGATGGTTGCTCTTCTTGATGTACACTTGACTTACCCATGGGCAACGTTATCCACCACGCCCCAGATTTCCTCATTGTTGGCACACACTCGAATCCACCGCCGTGTTGCTTTTGTGAACCGTTTGTCTCGCCCTCTCAGAACTTGAGCACGTCCCTCCTCCTGTACTAGACAGTACCCCTTCCCTGATGCAGACAGTACTCCTTTTCTAATGACATTTCAACAACAAGAACAACAACATTTTTTTCCGTTGAAGCAAAGAAAGGATACGTTTATGCTCCGAAGTAATCGATATTGTCTCCCTCCACCCCTTGCTCCTTGGCGCAGGCAAGAACTAAGCTCGGCAGGTTAAGGGTCCGCGGCGGGGGTTACAGTTTGGCCATGTCGGCGGGGCTGCCCGCCGCCGTAAGCTCGATGATCAACCCCGTGGTGGTCAAGGCCTCCGCCAGGGCTGTGAGCGAGCTCCTGTGCTGCTGCGTGCTTGGGGTCGTGGCTGCCAAGAAGGGGATATTGACCCCGGTCAACGTGGCGGCTCTCTCCAAGGTCCGTGCCTTACTTGCTACCGGCCACTCGTGCCCCATGTTAAGCGTATGGCCAGTGTCCATGACACGATGCTACGTATTTACTAATACATGTACCCGCGACCGTAATTGTTTGTTCGCCGTCTTCTCCCGTGCTGCCTGTGCTGTTATTTTCTGTTTTTTCTTCTCTTTCTGTCAGATCGTCTACGGCATTTTCCTGCCCTCGTTGCTCATGGTGAACGTGGCCAAGACTTGCGTCAGCCAGTCCGTGGCCTCCCTCCTGCCCATCCCGGCGTTCGCGGGTATCCAGATAGCCCTCGGGCTGGCCATATCGGGGGTGGCCATGCGCCTGCTGAGGATAAACCCCGATACCGAGGCGGGCCGCGAGGCGAAGGTGGGGAGGGGCGGGCAAGCTGTTTCTTGGTGAACCTTTGTTTGTGGTGCTTTGGATATGAGTTCGATCTGTGTGCCCCCTCCGGGGGATACGTGTGTGGGTGTAAAGTGCGTGGGGGGGGGGGTACGAGAGGACCCCTGCGAGAGAGAGAGTGAGATAACCCACTTGCCCGTGGGGCTTGCGTGTGGTGAATAATACATGATTGCCTTTTCCTCATCCGCCGCTCCTGGGACAGCATGGTTCCCAGTCTCAACATCACCATTGACGGCGGCTGCGCCACGAACAACTTTCGTTTTCTGCTTTGATTTGGAAGCGGGGGTTGGTGGTAGACGCAGCATGTGTGCTTTTTCCTTTTCCGGGTTGGTTCTGCCTGGCCACCCTCCCTCGTGCCCCCCTATAGCTGCTAGATCCAGCTTGGGTTTGATTGGGTGCCCCTTCTACAGCAGTGCGGGGATGGCACGATGAAAGATAGAAGGATGTTGTCAAGGAGAGGAAGAAGATGGCGGGATACGGCGTACATGTACTTGGTATATTCTGCTGTGCCTAAGACAACAGGAAGGAAACCGTCGCCTACCGACGAGGTCGGTGATTGGTTAGGAAGGTTAAGGTTTTCGCGAAAGGCGCTCTAAACGTGCACAGGGTTGTGGGTACCCGTCAACGCAGAATGTTGGTTAAAGCAAGAAGTATCCCTCTTATGTTTCGACTGGTAGGAACCGCCGTGCAACGTGCCGAAAGGGACACATATTTTGGACGGTCGAACCACCAAGGCGGCAACACCCGCGTACCCCCTCCCCCCCCCCCCGAAAGGGACACATATTTTGGATGGGCCAACCCCCAAAGGGGGAACACCTGGGTACTCCCCCCCCCCCCCCCCCCC